TATTTGTTATTTCAGCAACATTGGGCAAAATACAGGATAAAATAATGTTAAACATTGAGTATGAATTGAGCATAACTGCAATATCTTGTACTGCTACTTGCTGTTATCCAAGGGTTGGGGGTGAATACTGAGGTGGGGTGAATATGGTGAAGTGTGCTGCACTAGCTCCCGCTGGAGGTCTGGTAGGTGGGAGCAGAAAGAAAGGTGATCAACGGCTGATAAGGTTACCGAAGTCCATTCCCAGTGGCTTCAGGTTTTTCAGAGAATTGTGTCAGTGATTGAGTGAAGGGCTAGCTGTTTCACGCGTGCTTACTCCTACCTGTATATGGTACTCATTCTTAAGAATGGTGACAGGTATCTGATAATGTTACCAAAGTCTCATGTCATGAACTACACATGGTGCCAGTGGTTTGTGTTAAGGAAGTCCTCAAATTATGATTCAATAAAAGACCTTTCTCAGTATACTCTTTTTGTGAGAAATAAACAAGCAATTTTAAAATGGGATTTTGTTTACGGTGGGACTGGGTATATTAGTATTGAGTGTGGAAATTACTACACATGTAGGGTTGCAGAGGCTGGGAATGATTGTGTGTGAGCTGTCACCTGGTCGACTGTGGACATCGGGATGAAAAAATGTTGTTGATATATACACAGCCATAGGACAGGCACATGTTTTGTGTCTGTTCTTATGGTGACGTAACTAACATCAACATTAATATTGTGGTCATCAGAACCTTTGTTCAGCTTCATATTGTAACAGTGAATAATTCAAACCAGGCTCCAATGTCACATGGAACTGTAGGAGCAAAACTACTTGACGAATGAGTGAGTGTATCAAGTTATGCAACCTTCAAGACTGCTTCAGTTGTATCATGTTGTTGGAGCTTAATGTCGGAGAAAATTCCAGATCCATCAAAACCCTATATGGCACCTGACATGACAATGTTGACTATGGTGATGATGATGATGATGATGATGATGATGGTGGTGCCGATGACAATGATGGTGATAATGATGAAGATGTCGACGTTGGTAATGATGATGATGACGATGACGACGATGATGATGATGATACATACATACAAACATTTGTATAGCACCTATATCCAGTACAAATGCTCAAAGGCGCTTTGTTTTCCCTCGATCATTGGATGTCCATCACAACGGCATATCGTATTTTCAATCTCAACTCCCTTGGGAGCATACAACTCTTGCTGCCTACTAGGCGCACCGAGTTAATGTGGCTTTCCCATCATTACGAGGTACCCATTCACAGCTGGATGGACTGGGACACATAGTCACAGTACTTTGTCCAAGTTCACTGCACGTTGCTGTACCCGCAACTAGGTGTTTGCGCGTATTCATGTGGCCACCATCTGGTCATCTACCAATGGATTCGTGGGTTCTTTTAAGTGCACAGGGTTGTGTACTGTACACTAGGGGTTGTGACAACACTGAAAGAGTCTGCACACAAAGTTGACTCCAAGGTTTTTACACCCGGTCACAGGTGGACTCGATCCCGGCACCTCCAAGCTCGCTGGATTACTAGCCTGGCGCCTTAGACAGCTCGCCCACCTCCACCTCCCAAATGATGATGATGATGATGATGATGATGATGATGATGATGATACGTGATGATGCAGGAGTTGATGTGTAGTTGTCAGTTATGATGTTTTAACACTGTTGGTAGGGGTGGTAATTGATGGTATGTATGGGTGTGTTGATGCTAACAAAGTGGATGACAGTTGTGGTACCAGTGATGGTTGTGATGTTCCTGTGTGTGGGAGAAGTCAGGTACAGGCTGAGCTGGTAGTTTCACCAGGAAGCAATGACTGGACCTTGTTTCCTGTTCTATAAAATAGTAATGGGAAGCATCAGCACGGCTGTGGTCGTGGACAATATGTCACCAACTTCCGCCCAACCTACGCTTGCATCATTTCCTGTGATTTTACTCAGTTCAAATTAAACTTTGATGTTGGAAAACTGGTGGTGATTGTTCCTCTCTTGCCACGGCTTCTGATAGTTCTGTGAGATGTCTATGTGTCTTCTTTGTTATGCTTGTTGAAAAGAGATGATTTGATGGGATTAATAAAAAAAATCATATTTATATATACATTTACAGACAGACAGACAGAGACATAAACCAAAACATATGTTGGGACATGATTTGACTGTGATTTGGTTTAATGAGTTCTACGGCAGGAAAGTCAACTGCTCCTATTCTGAATGATCCAGTAGCGTTAGTCTGTAAAACATTGTGGTCCTTTGTGATCTCCTTCTTGCTTCCTGTAAGAGGTAAATTCATTATGATTGCTAATATGCTGCTGGCTCTTGACGCAGACAGAACAAATTCTTCAAGTTATTGTTTTTTATGGTCCCTTGAAAAAGAACAACACTTGATAGAGTTTAAATTCTCTGAGGATGAGAACTCAGAAGAAACCCCCGAAGAAAGGTTGAGGCTGATGATAAATCAATGCTGTTCAAATGGAAATGAAATGTTTGTCAAAAATGAAAACTCTGACAAAGTGTGATGTGTTGTGTTTTTGAGTTATGTTGGAGAAGTGGAAGATCTGAGTGAATATTACTGTTGAGCATTGATCTGGGATTTAAATTAATTGTTTTGTGCTGTCCTAGGAACATGGATAACCTGTAGCTGAATTAATCTTTGTAGCCATGTCTGGAGAAACGGCAGTACTGGTCCATTAGAGCTATGGAACTTAAACACTGGTCCTCTGAACAAAACTTTACACACACTGAATATTTATGCAAGAAAGTGTTAAATTTGTTTCATTTTGACATCATTTAGTTTCTGACTATTTTGTGTTGCCTTTTGAAATATTTGTTATAAATTCTATGGAGTTTTGAGAAACATTGTAAAGAAAGTTTGTTTTTGTATTGACAAATGAAGACTAAATCATTCTGGGGAGATCTGAAAGACAAATGTTGGTTGTGTGGAACAACTCATAGAGCATGGTCTCCCCTTGAACAGAGGCCTGGATGTGGCGTGTGCTGTTCCTGCCGTTGCCAGCCCCAGATTGATGGGGTATCTTCCTCTGTAATTAGTTCCCATCTGTTACTGCAGCAGCAGACGATCCTCCAACAGCACCATCGCTGCCACAGTGGCGGTGGGGGAGAGGGGTTACAATCATGTCCTTACTTTCTCAACTTTTACAATTATCTGATTGTTTAGTGTCAGGCATCCAGTGTTAGTACCTGGTCTGAGGTGTAACAATACAAACAGTATGTGATACGATGTATATACATGATGTGGCTGGTCTGAGGTGTAACAATACAAACAGTATGTGATACGATGTATATACATGATGTGGCTGGTCTGAGGTGTAACAATACAAACAGTATGTGATACGATGTATATACTGGACGTGGGATACCATGGAGTGGCATGCAATACAATATGGATGAAGTATGTTTTGTGTCGTAGATGGGTTGCCAGAGGATATGTATTATGATATATTATGGTAACCATATCTTCAGTAGCAGTTGACTTTCAGATCGTGGTCATAGTACTATGATTGGATTGTGGGGAATTTTGAATGTATTCTGAAACCGGCTCTTTACTTGCTGAAATAGAGCTATTAGTAAAAGAAAATATTTCATTTATTTGAAACAATGGACTGGTAATGATTATATTTAGCAAGGATGAAGACAAGTAGTTGGATTTCTTCTCAGCAAGACCAATTCTAACCAAAGGTTAATATGGATGTAAGATGAAGTGAATGGTGACCAGTGCAGGTAGAATAACATGACTGTTATACAGATAATGTGAAGAAGGTGCTGGCTGTGACAGGTGCTTGTTGTACAGCAGCAGCAACACAGGCTACATGTGGCACTAGTCATACCATTCTACTGGTGTACATAGCTGGTACTGAAGCAGCACAATGTACAGAGCTATGCACTGGGGTGCAACATGAGGTGATACGCCTGGACTGCCGCTCCTGACAACTGTGGGAGTACTTGCAGGAACCCAGTTCCAACCAAGGTTACTGCCCAGCTAGGGCTCACTGTATGACTTGGCATGTTTGTACAACAGGCAAGCAAGCCAACATACTATGCTTTGATAATGTGTTGAAGACTCTGCTGCTTGTACAAGCTTGAAGTTGGTGAATGCAGCAGATGTTGACTGTATTAGGCTTTGGATATATGTATCGAGTCATCAAGAGTAGGCATCCAGGATTGTCAGGGTAGTCAAGAGTAAGCATCAAGGATTGTCAGGGTACTTGTCAAGAATAGGCATCAAGGATTGTCAGGGTACATGTTAAAAGTAGGCATCAAGGATTGTCTGGGTACACTTCAAAAATAGGCATCAAGGATTGTCAGGGTACATGTCAAGAGTAGGCATCAAGGATTGTCAGGGTACATGTTAAAAGTAGGCATCAAGGATTGTCTGGGTACACTTCAAAAATAGGCATCAAGGATTGTCAGGGTACTTGTCAAGAGTAGGCATCAAGGATTGTCAGGGTACATGTTAAGAGTAGGCATCAAGGATTGTCAGGGTACATGTTAAGAGTAGGCATCAAGGATTGTTGGGGTACATGTCAAGAGTAGGCATCAAGGAATACCTGGGTACACGTCAGGAGTAGGCATCAAGGGTTGTCAGGGTACATGTTAAGAGTAGGCATCAAGGATTGTTGGGGTACATGTCAAGAGTAGGCATCAAGGGTTGTCAGTATACTTGGCAGGAATAGGCATCAAGTACTGTTTGAGTATTTTAGAGGTTACAGGTTGTCAGGGTACATGTGAAGGGTGAATGTCAAATGTGGTTGTCAGGGTAGATGTCAAGGGCAATTGTCAAGAATGGCAGTCAAGGATGTTTCTCAAGGTAGATGTCCGTAGTGGTCATATTGTATGGATTGTCACATCCTGAAGGTGTTGTTAAGACGTTTAATCATGACGATGATGTTTGGAATCTCATATATGGGTTTGTATCACTGAAGTAGGGCCCTGTGAATTTGTTTTAATGTTTATGTCCTTCATTCCAGATCGCCCACACAGTCCAGCAGAGTTACCTCCCATGTTTGATGCCTGCTGTATGCTGTCAGCATCTACTGTTTCAGTCTAACTAACTCCATCAACTGGTAGGTACACTAGTCTTGTTTACATCCAAATATAAAGCTAAACATATTTTTAACTTTTAAAAATCTGCAGAAAACTGATTTGTAATAATTATGTCAATTGATTTGTTTACACGTTTTCATGATGTTGTGTGTAAGAATGCTCCATGTTTGTTAGACAATTATCATTAGATACTCATGTGTTAGGGTGAGGGAAGTAGCATATAGTGCTGTACTGCATACATATATAAAACTTGTGTGTGAGGGAAGTAGCATATAGTGCTGTACCACATACAGATTTGTCACTTGTGTGTGAGGGAAGTAGCATATAGTGCTGTACCACATACAGATTTGTCACTTGTGTGTGAGGGAAGTAGCATATAGTGCTGTACCACATACATATTTGTCACTTGTGTGTGAGGGAAGTAGCATATAGTGCTGTACCACATACATATTTGTCACTTGTGTGTGAGGGAAGTAGCATATAGTGCTGTACCACATACATATTTGTCACTTGTGTGTGAGGGAAGTAGCATATAGTGCTGTACCACATACATATTTTTCACTTGTGTGAGGGAAGTAGCATATAGTGCTGTACCACATACAGATTTATCACTTGTGCGTGAGGGAAGTAGCATATAGTGCTGTACCACATACAGAATTGTCACTTGTGTGTGAGGGAAGTAGCATATAGTGCTGTACCACATACAGATTTGTCACTTGTGTGTGAGGAAAGTAGCACATAGTGCTGTACTGCATACAGATTTGTCACTTGTGTGTGAGGGAAGTAGCATATAGTGTTGTACTACTAAATATATTGATGTGTGTTTTTTTACTAATCTTGTTTAGGGTTGGATTCTCTCAGCTACATAATTGTATGTTTAAAGTGATTGTGATTGTGATTGTGCTTTGTGATCGCAACATTCACAGTAGCACATATTCACCTGTATCAGTGAAAGGTTTGTAGAAAGGATTATTTTACCATGCACAGTTTAATGCATCTGATCACATAACATTTAAACACAATGACAGTAGGTTTATGTCTTCTTATTTATGGATACTTCTGTACTTCAGAAGTATTAACTTTTAAATTTCATTGCTTAGATAAACTCTATCTGATGAAAACTGCAGATGTAGTTTTATCATGAAGTCAGAAGATGATATAAGGCACCGGCATTGGAAGCCAAGTGGGTACAAGGGGGAATATTAGGGGAATATTAGTTACAGTTATCCAATGCTAGTGAACTAAAAGTGGATTAAAGTGACCAAAATCCATTTCCAAATTGTACAGACTTAATGTTTTAAAGATCACCATCAAGCAAGCAGATTCTTTTTAAGGTTCAAATATATTTTTTTCTGTCTAAAAGTACTGTGAAAAGAGGCATAGCATGATACCAAATCCTTAGACAAAAACATATGAAGATATGATTGATTTTGAAGTTCATACCAACTCACTCACTCACTCTGCAGTCTAGAAGCTGATCAGGTGTACACAATAATGATGTCTGTGAATACTGGAGCAGTTATGACACTGATCCAGTTTCCTCAGTGACTGATCCAGGACGTTGTTCATGCAAGATGAAGCCTGTATCTCTGTTTGACATGGATATGACACATTTTCGTAACACTTCCTTAAGCATCACCATGTTTAACCTCTTCCATACATTTCCCTCTGTGTTGCATCTAGTCACAGTGTACAAGTGAGTGAGTGAGTTTAGTTTTACGCTGCACTCAGCAATATTCAAGCTATATGGTAGCGGTCTGTAAATAGTCGAGTCTGGACCAGACAGTCCAGTGATCAAAAGCATGAGCATGGATCTAAGCAATTTGGATACGATGACATGTGTCAACCAAGTCAGTGAGCCTGACCACTCGATCCCGTTAGTCGCCGCTTACGACAAGCATGGGTTACTGAAACTCAATTCTAACCCGGATCTTCACGGGTGACAGTGTACAAACTGAAATACAGACTTATTATTCATGTGTGATATATGTTTTATATCTCATGTATGGCATTTAATGATCCACTCTTGCCATCATTTTACACCATTATTGAAGGATCTACTTCACAATTTCCATGACATCCAAGCATGTGATGGAGGTGTTGTTGCTGATGGTTGGTAATGAGTCTTCTGCTGACCACTCTGGCTATGGCAGTTAAGAACCTATTGTCCTGAACACGGCTACCTGGGGATGTGGGGCTTGGGGTCATTTCAGGCCAGTTATTGATCTCTCTCACTTCATTCCTGCTCATCTGGCATCGGGAAACCATCATAGCAAGTTAATAATATATTTTCCACTCTGGAACACCTTGAGAATAGGGTCAAGTCTGAGGCAGGGCGGTCATACATGCAGGGATTTATGCAGGATTGTAAACTATGTGCCTCTGGCAGACACACTGGGAAAGCACTTATTCTTTTTTCTTAAATTCAGATGTATTTTAACTTTGTATTTTGAGATTGTATTTAATACCGCACTATTTAACTAAGCATTGAAACCTCTTCTTAGTTATTGGTCCTGTTATGAGTGAAATACAGGTTATTTCTACAAAGCCACAAAATTAGGTATTCGGCATATATTTACATTAAATGGGAATTCTTTAATGCCAGTTTGGAATTTTTTTAAACAATTGCTGCAGACCTGGAACTGAATATCAGCTTCTGAGCTGGCCGAGATAAATCCTCACACAAATCCCTCTTTCATGTTTATGTATGTCTTGTTGAAGACACTGCTGTTCCTGTTATTTCACAGTATTTGTCAAAACTATAATATTGCTTTTTTTTATGGATATCAACTTCTTTATTATGGGGAACACTACATTTCAGAGTCTTTTCCCTATGTGTATCACTTCTAAATGCCATTCAAAGACCTATAGTATTGCTGTGTTGAACAGCATTCACACACTCATACTTTTTGGCACTGTGCTGGAATAACCTGAAACAGTAGCTAGTGCTCTACATCAAGTGCTCTTCAGTACTTGTACAGCAGGTATAACAGTGCATCTTATCACGGTTTGAACCTTGCGATAAGAAAGTCAGGATATGTACTAGAGTGTTGGAACAGGCATGGGGCGTTAATCACTCAGTGTCCATTGGCCAGTGTAGAGCAACATATACACAACAGCCAGTGAGTTAACTCATAGTCCTCACTGTAACGTTATCTGCCGTATACACCAGCCTCACATACTCTGACCAATTAGTATAAGATTATATAAACCAGTTCTCTGACGGAAACCTACACTAACGCTTAGTCTCGGAATATATATCATTTTGATAGTAACAAACAAGCCCATTCTATTTGAAAAGGAGCCCCACAGAGACTAGAGATTCAGCAACACCTGAACCTGAGGGAATCTAGACTTGCTTCATTTAGAGCTTTAGCATTGCAGGGTGGGCTGGGCAGTAGGGAATATAATGTGGTTCAGGGACTGTGAGACAGACTACCAGAAAACCCTCAGGCATAGGCAGATCCCCTGGGGGTGCACCCCCTTTTGTCCTGAAGGCTTATTAAATGACCATTGAAACTCTCTGAAAACAGGTGAAAATGTACTGTGCACCCCGCTTTTCTCAAAAAGCTGTATCCTCCCCTGCTCAGGTATTAAAGGACATTAAGTCTGCTTATTTCAGTGCTGGAGAGTGGATAAGACTATTCTGTTGAGCTACTAGAAGACTGCAAAAAGAGGGATAGGTTTTTTGTTGTATGGAATGTATGCTCTGTTGGCTGTAGGAGACGAGCGAGAGGTCAGATACAACCTTGATGGTTTTACTGAAGAACAACATGGTACATCCTTCATTCTTACCTAGTTTCAGTTGGCTTCACTTTTCACGAATTTGTCGTTGCAGAATTTGTTAAGGAAGTGACAATGACAGTGATATTTTACAGAACGTTGCATGTCAGATAAGATTCCTTCCCCAATGTGATGTTCAAGAGAATGTTGAACATGCATAAACCAAACATACTGAAGATGAATCATCACAACAGATATATTATATAAAGTCATATTTACCTTTTGTAAGCTGAACTCTAAGATATGCAAAAAATCCTGTTTTGGATGGTAGCAAAAAGAAATCTGTGTGAGCCCAGGGCAAAATCCTTGCAGACCGGGGTGTGGATACACATATATCCTCCATGAGTGTAGAGAACAGGCGCCGGCGCCAGCATCTAACACTATGTGATTCCAGTGAATGCAGGACAAATATAAACATGAGGTTGGGCTGGTATCAACAAGTGTGGTGGAATAGTCTTTTATTTAGATGGCAGAAAATAGTACACTTATGATGAAATATTTTTAGTGTTTCCACTCTGGGAGTAGCTAAATTCAGAACAGGCCAGTTCCAGAAACGTTCATGAGTTGTTCCAGTTGCGATACACGTACCTGTTCTTCAGTGCCTGCCAATTCTCACACCTGATTGAGGTTACCGTGCCAAATGAGATAAAAAACATTGTTCACGTGTGGAATCGATGGCAATGACTGAGCAGAAGAAATACGCTTTGAACCCACATGACTTAATTAGGGCAGACAGGAGAGTGAGTTTAGTGGAATTGATTGTTGGTGGGTTTTGTTGTAAGACCCTCCTTTTGGAGATATGTTTTCTGTCATTGTGGACTAGGACCAGTATCACAATATCACCCTATTTTTATATTACCCAACATTTACAAAAATATAATGAAATAATATATCGTTTTGTTTGTGTATTAGATCTAAAATATTCCTAAAGTACAAAAATAAATTCAATCTGTTAGGTGTAAAACAAGATAATTTCAATCACAAGCAGTCTCAATTTTCATAATTTCATTCGTGTTGCATTTTTCAACATGTGAAAAATATTTTTTTCTCAAAGAGCATGATGTTTATGTGTTCAAAGAGCTTTTTTGTCAAGAAATTATATGACTTTCTCACAAAACCTAAAAAAAATCCAATAAATTTACCAATCAATGCAACATAGTGAAGGAATGTCTTCTGGGAAATCTTGGAAAACATCCATCGGTCACTGTGGTTTTCATGGACCATTATAATAAGCTGA